AGATTCACCACCAGGTGATGTGAACTGGCCCTGCCTGATTCTCCCCCAACCTGAACCAAATGTATGTTGGTGCATACCATCACTTGACCTGGTCTGGGCTGCTCCCCATCATGGTTCTTGTGCTCACCTACAGGGATTGTGTCCAAACAGAGTAGTTTCTAGGCTTCTCCATCAAAACCTCTCCCAGTGCCAGATCTTGCGCCCACCAGTGGGTTCCTTGGACAGCCCTATTAGTTCACTTCCTGTCCTAGCAGGAACAGTAGACTTTCCTGACTGTCCCTCACCCATTCTGATTTTTACTGTTGAGTATTATAGTCCAACCAAGCCTGGTTCACACCCAGATACAGCTCACACATGGTTCAGTAGAGGCAGAGACCTAGCTCATCCCCTCCTACACTTATCCTGGTTCTCATGAGCTAGATGTGCTAGATGAACTATCCAACTGTTAAGCCACAGGAAAACTGATTGAAAGAACATGGTATCTATAGCCAGAGTAGATGACAAAAGTATGACTGATATCTTGTCTTTACAATTGAGTGTAGACTTGATTAGGATTGCCACAAGACAAGATTATGGCTGATGGGAAACAGTTTAAGTAGACTCATTTTGGTTGCAAGCAAAAAAATTAATGACATTAATTCAAAAATGAAAAAAGGTAACGTGTCTGGTGGTATAGCTGGGTAAGTTGCTACTTAACTGGTATCCCATATCAGAGTAGCACTTTTAGTCCTAGTTGTTGTACTTCCTCAACTTTCTGCTCTTGCTGCTGGAAAGGCAACAGAAGATGGCCCACATGCTTGACAACCCATGTGAAAGATCTGGATCAGTTCTTGGCTCCTGTCTTCAGCCTGACCCAGGTTTAGTTATTGCAATCATATGAGAAATGAAGCAACAGATGGAAGATTCTCTCTCTCTCTCTCTCTCTCTCTCTCTCTCTCTTTGTTTCTCTGATGATGTGCCTTTCAAATAAATAAAATTTTAAATGGTATGTGACACTTAGGATTTAGGGGATATTCTATTACAGTCCCAGTTCTGCAGCACCCTAGATTGATGGGTACCCCTCCTTTGCTTCCTCCTATCCCCAAGCACAATTTACTCTGAAACGACACCCATTGAAATAGGTTTTTTTTTGGTTTGTGAACAAAAAAGGAAATGTGCAGTAGCCAACAGGTGAATTAATCACTCAGTTTCTCTAGCCTAATCTTCCAAGTTACATTTATTTTAGCTAGAAACCAGAACCAACTAAGTAATTTCTGGAGCCATGGAAAGAATGCAAATATGGAGCCTCACTGAAAAAATTTTAAATGTCAAAACAACAGCAAAGTACTAAGGTGCAAGGCCCTGCACAACTGCACATTCACACGTCCATGAAGTCAGTGCGGCAAGAGCCAAGCTGAGACTTGAAGCAACCAACTGTATCTTTTTTAAAGCTGTTGCAAATTCCGAGGCTTACCTTGCATTTGCTCTTTTCCCTTCTCCTGATGCCTATTTCTCTGGGATTATACCCCACTCTTATTCACCCACAAGCATTACAAGTAAGCTGTATCTCAAGTCTTTTTTTTCCAGGTATTTGGAACATGACACTGTAATTAGAGTTTTTGAAATCTGATAGGCCAATTCAAGTATGCTTTAGTGTCAATTTTATCTCAAAGTTAACAAAATTCCTCCAATGTCAAGGAAAACATTTCATAGAAGGGTACAGCTTGCTTGTTATAGGCATACATTTACATGCCGGCTTAAATTCCTGGATTCCTATATTTTTAAGATTTTATTATCATTTGGTCATGGATAATACTAATAACCCTTTAGAAGAATAGGATAGGGCCCGGCACGGTGGCGCAATGGTTAAGGTCCTCGCTTTGCACCCCGGGATCCCATATGGGCACCAGTTCTATCCCGGCAGCCCCGCTTCCCTTCCAGCTCCCTGCCTATGGCCTGGGAAAGCAGTTGAGGACGGCCCAAAGCTTTGGGACCCTGCATCCACGTGGGAGACCCGGAAGAGGCTCCTGGCTTCGGATTGGCATAGCATTGGCCGTTGCGCTCACTTGGGAAGTGAATCATCGGGCAGAATATCTTCCTCTCTGTCTCTCCTCTCTGTATATCCGCCTTTCCAATAAAAAAAAAATAAATAAATCTTAAAACAAAAAAAAGAAGAATAGGATAAAGGAATGTATTTTTAAGAAAAATGCTGTTTTTCCTAGGCTCTTCTCTCACTTTCTCATATGCCTAAGCATCTCCTACAGCCTTCCCTCCTAAGTATATTTGAGACAGATTTCAACTTCATGCTTCTTTCTTATACTCATGTAGTAAATGGTATGTTAACTTTTGCCCTCTGTGATTGTTTCTGAACACTATTTGCACTCTGATTACCAGAAGTGGATATCAATTTAACTGTAAACCACACTTCTTAAAAGTGTATATTCCTATAATAAACAAGTTTCAAGTACTGAGGGAGAAGCTAACAACTTGATAAGTTTTTGTTTGTTTGTTTTTACCATTAGGTATAGGTGCAGAAAGGGATGGTACCTGTTGTCAGCAGTCATATGGATAACAATGACCAACACAAGGCAGCTTGATGACAGAAAATCATGACAGATAAGGCAAAGTTTTATGTGACACACAAGTCTTTAGACATTTATACCCAAAGAACCACAGACAACTGTCTATTCTTATGCTTAGCTTAATGAAGTACGGACAGATGTTTAGAAAATGTGATGGAACAAAATATCATCTAATGGAGATAAATGGAGACAGGAAATCCAAGAAGGCCTAATGTGTTCAGTCTTTTTGGCCTCTGTATGTAGCACTGCTTTCTCCCAGATGTGGAGTAGGACTCTTCTACAATGATAGTCTTCAAGAGAGAAGGCAAAAGAGATGCTTGCAAGTGCCTTTTCTGGCTTTAATGGCTTGCTTAGAGTGAAACTCTAGGTCTTCTAAACTGAGTGGGAGAAAAATTATTTTCTTCTACCTATTTCAGATTCATTGGCTAGGATCGGTGAGAGAAAAAAAATATTATTAAGTTTTAATTGACATGGAGCTTTCATAAGGAAATTAAGACTCAAAGAAACCGTTCGATTTAAGTGTTTTTTTTTTTTCTGGTATATTTGATGCACAATACAGAGTGTCAGAAAAATATCATAGGGATTAGAAATAGTATGAGCAACATATAATAGGCTGAGGGACATTTAGCAGACCTGTTCTTCCAGATTCCTTTCTTTGTTCATTTTTCTTGGGGCACCAACATGTTCATTGCCTCTAGGAATCGTGAGAAACTTTTACATGAGGTTCTTATGACCTGCTTTCAGGGAAGATCCCAAAGTCCTGCCGATACATATCAATTCTCCAGTTCTTTCAGCTTTAAATTGTAATGCTCCATATTGGGGATAATGTGTCCTAAAATCCAGCACATTTCATGTAACCTAAATGATACAAGCAGGTGCTCAATTTCATTTCTTCAAGTTTGCAACCAAGTACGTAGAAAAATAAAATCTTTCGAATAATTAATTACAGTGCAAGCATATATGTACACATACCTAAACACACACATACACACACACACACACATGCCTACCTTAAAATCAGTGGGAATGTCAGAATTTTATTCACTTCAATTTCATCCTTTAAATACAGCAAGTAATGAATCCTTGCACTATCAGTAAATTGTTAGCAAGGCAAAACTCACAGATTTCTCCAACAAAAATAATTTTCAAGCTTGTCAGATTTAAACTAAACTGGGTAGAGCTACTTAAACTGACAGATTAATAAGGGAAAAAATTAGTCTTTAGTGTTGCTGTTTGATTTTTAGGCTCTTATATTCCCATGTATATTTAAGATGATTTGTCCTGCGTGAGTTAGAAAAGTGTGCATGTCAGTGTGATGAATTTGTATCAAAACAGTGTGGCTGAAATTTGCCAAGGGGTTCATTTTTTCAGTCTTTTGAATTTTTCATTGTAATGCTGACATGTCTCTGAATGGGACAAAATATACTTTAAAAAAGCTATTGTAATACTTTTATATTTCATGGTCTTTAATTAAAAAAAAAACAGTATTTCCAAGGCCTGGATTTAGAAATTAATCTTACCGTCTCACAGGCTACCTATCAAAATGCAGTACTTGCCTTGTCTATTAAACTAGAATCCTGCCAAATTCTGTTGATACTGATGGAAGTGTATTCATACATAATTGGCAGTTGTGTAGTAATAGAGAATCTATAAAATAGTTGTAAGTCTTTAGAAAAAAGCACCTCTGAAAAGAAGACATCATGAGAAATCTGCTAAGTATGCCTTTAGTTTGAATACAATACTTAAAATTATTAGTTGTCAATGAATGGAAAAGAAAAGTGCAGCGAGTGTTAGGGGTAATTAATGCAACTAATGATAGTGTCTGAAGGCCTGGTAAAGCATTTGTGGTTGTGTATGTGCATATGTGTTCCTTGGGGTTTGCTCTAAATTTTCTTTCTATATCAACAGTTAGCTTACCTATAGCTCTGTGGGTATGGAATATACTTTTAAATGTGGCAACTTTTTCCCATATATGTTGGCTTACAAAAATCTGGGTATTCAACAAAAGAACAATATTTGATCCTCTTGTGCAATATAAGCATAAATCATTTATAGAGCTAGGAATATGCACTGCTAAGATCTCTTTGAACCTTAGTTTCATTTTCATCTTCAAATCAAATTTTAAAGGATGAAATATGAAGAATTCCACTAATAATTTTAAGTAGAATTGGATTAATTTTAACTAATGGCTGAGCAAAATGGTGACGTTCCTATATTAAGCATAATGACTTGGTATGGTATATTACACATTTCCATTTATTTCATGGTGCCTAGAATTTTTATGAGCAGTAATTCAGAGAAGTGTGAATTGACTTCACAGAACTCTTCTACACACTAAGCATATATTTTAACGGATACTATTTTTTTTAGTTGTTTTGTAAAGTACCTGCTAAAATATGCTAAATTCTTTGCACATTGTTTTGTTTTGTGTTGTTTCAGTTTCGGCTCAAATTCTCAAGAGCAACCTTGCAGCAATGGAACAACAAATTGTTCATCTGGAACGTGACATCAAGAAATTCCCCCAAGCAGAAAATCTACATGATAAGTTTGTGGAAAAGATGACGATATCCTTTATTTATTCAAGCATTTCATTTATTTGTGGGTCTGTGAGTCTGCTGTCTACCTAACTAGCTATTTACTAATTTCTCTGGTTAGTTATGGTTTTTGTCTGTAGCACCATCTAGATGAATTTGTGGTGGTTTTATTTTAGTTGTACAAATTATATTTCATGATGTTTTAGACTACATTTAATAGGCAAGGGAGCCATTAGGTCAGAAAAAAAATGCCATTTATCAAAGAAGAATTTTATGGAAAATCCACAAGATATGCAAGGTAAGTCAAAGGAGATTGATTAGATCTAAAATGTAACTTTTTAAAAATATCTTCTTATGTAACCAGATGTTTAAAGGTGATCAGCAGATTGTTTCTCATTATAAATGCGTGCATTTTACCAAGGACACTGGTACATAGTCAGGGATGCTGTGCAGATAAATAATATCAGTCCAATAAAAGGATTCTGAAAGATAAATGAAAGCCTGGATGTATGCAAGGTCTGTAGATGATATATCTAAATAAATTTGTATATATATGTAAACATATAATATATACATATATAAATATCTCTTGCTAAGCAAACATTTTCAAACTCTTACTTTTTATTTAATATATAAATTATAGAAATATACTTAAAGGAAAACTTGATAAAATCTATTTAACTAGAATTGTTCAATGTTAAATCTGGTATCTAAAGATTACATTAGAGCTTTTTTTTTCCTATTTTGGTTTTCAAAAGTTAAAGTCATATCCTCGTCCTCTGGGTTTATATAAATATCTTGAACTGCAGATTGATTCACCATTTTATACCTCTTGAGGCAGTGAATAGTATAAATTCTTTATCTGATAATAAGTAAATTCCTTCAAGAAATGTATGACAGTCACCTTGTTTCAAGGTTAAACCTATTGCCTTTTTCTTCCTTTCCTACCCAACGTGGAAGTTATGGTATTGAACTTGAATCACTTGAGGATGATGATTTAGATTTATATAAAGAAAATTCACTCTCAGTGTATATGTTCATGAAATGATACTATGCTTTGTTTGCCCCTTAATGATGCTGAGTACTTTCATAAATACAAATATTGCAAGCAAATTTTGGCAGTGATTGGAGGCAGAAAATCATCAATGATAACTTCGGGTTACAGTATAACTGGCCACATTGGAATACTTAAAATGAAGCCTGTCTTTTACTGCTGATTAGGTTTTTGTGTCACATATATTATATTGTCTTGTGGGTAGAAACACTGCCTTTTTGTTTTTCCTTTCAATTTTGGCTCTTGTCCTTTCTCTTGAACATTTTCTTCTCCACTTGGCTGATGGCCACACAACAGCTTGCAACATTGAGTCTTTGTTGCTAATTTAGAAAAAGAAAAGTAATTTCAAACTCTCATGAACTTGGCCTGGACACCTCATTTTATTTCTCTTTAGTTCAGGTAATTAAGCTCTTTAAAACGAAAATTCAGAGCCTTCTGTATCTGTAAGTTACAGATGAATGGTTATTCTTCATTTAAGTGGCACTAAAGTATGACTGTTTGTCTGCAAGTGGATTGGAAACTATATTAAAATGTATAGAGTTGTAGCTTTGCATATTATATTTTAAAAATAATAGTGTACTAATTTATTTTAGAGAATATGTTAAAATACTGAGCTGAGTTGGTCAACAAGTACGAATTAATCTACTACAATGATAAATTGTTGCTCAAATTATTCTGCTTAGGAGGATTTCTGCTATATTTGTTGAGAGCTTTAAACTTCTAGAAAGAAAGAAAATGCATAGCCATCATATATATATATGTATTTCATATCAATTGCATTGCCTAGTTAATATTTTTCTACCTTCTAACTATTCAAATGAGAAAATACTGTTGTGAGATACTTCATCCTATTTTAAAATTAGAGCAATGAGTCAATTTTTAGTATGGAATTATTCTAGATAATCTTTCTAGAATTTCTGTCCCCTACAAATAAATTGTTTTGCTTCAGTTCACTGGCCCTTTAAATCTTAATCACAATGGGCAAAACTATAGGAGTAAATTCTCTTGAAAGTAACATTGCCTGTTTGAACAGCATCTATGTTTGAGGAATCTGAGTTTGAAAACTGAATAGCAATTCTGTGTCTTTGAATTTCTAAAATGGTATCAATATAATGGTTACAGCAGAGCAACACCCAGTTCCCAAGTTGTGCTGTGTTAAGCTGCAACCTGTGTTCATGGTTGCTTATAATATTGATTGAGAACTTTCAATATGCTAGTCATTGCCAAGCCATGAAAATATAGTGGCATGTGATGCAAAAATTGACCTTAAACTGTTAACACTTTGGAAGTTGCATGCTATCTATCTGGATGTCCCCAAGCTTGCCCATCACAATGATTTAATATAGTACACACACTCAGTTAATGGGTATTTAGTCACAGTTGCAATCATCCAGTCCAAGAATCTGCATTCACTGACCCCCTCAAAATGGGTATTGTCCGATAGTGATAGGCTGTTCTTATTGTTAAATTTTTTCCATGAAAGTCTCAAAATCTTGAGTAATGTGGAATCTTTTTGGTAGAGCATGGTTATATAAAAGTATAGTTTATTTTAGCAGAAATGACCCACATCTTTTAAAGTAAATGTCAAAAAATATTGACCAAAAAATAAGAGGGAGAAGAAAATCTCTATCGTAAATGAAATGACCTAGGCTATTTCCAGCTGATCAAAGTCAGTGCCTTTAGAAGGAAACTAATCACTTCTATTTCCCCCTTTCTCTCCAGAACTAGTGATTTTTCTGACTCAGAAAAAAATAATAAGAGAGGAGAGCTTTCTTTTCTCACTCATTTTAATGTTCATAGCTTACATTCCTATAACCAAAGACAAAGCAAAGGAAAGGAATGCACTTTTCTTTAATACAAGTTTTATATGATGTGGAGTCTTCATGTATGAAGACCAAAGAAGTGGACAAACTGTTTTTATGGACAGTTGTCTAGAGTATGACCGAAAGACGAGATTGTGATCTAGTTGTAACAAAATTTATGGCCACTTAGAAAGATCTGTTTGTTCAGATTCCTCTTGGCTTCCCTATGTGACATTTGCTCTCTGTAAGTATACAGCAAGATTTTTGACACATGACAGAGGAGGAGAAAGAAGGGCAGCGAATGATCCTCCTAGCTTTAATGGTCTGCCTCAGGGGTGAAGTGGAAATGAGATCCTAGTTTTTATGATAGACTCTAGGAGAGAGGGGGTTTGGAGAAGATTAGAGAGACATTGTTGTTGTTGCTGTTTTCCTGGGTTTCTGTCAGACTCAGCTACTCAGTGTGCCCAATGCTTAAATGTTTACATCTGCTGAAACGTAATCCCCAGAGGAGAATCTTTGGTACCTTGGTCTTGGGCTTCTTAGCCCCTAGAACTGTGAAAAATCTTTGTTATTTCTAAGTTACCCCCGCTAAGGTATTTGTTACTACATCAGGAACAGATTAAGCCAACAAGGGTCACATGTTGGGATTAGAATTGCACACTCAATCAACAGAACAAACAAAACAAGCAGACTCAGTTTTATGCGATTATAAAGGAGCAGGCATTGTGGTATATGAGCTAAGCCTCCACTTGCAAAAGTAGAATCTCCTGTGGTTGCCAGTTGAAGTTCCAGCTACTCTACTTCCTATCCAGCTCCTTGCTAATGTGATTGGGAAAACATCAAAAAATGATGCAAGTCCTTGGGTCCCTACCCATGTAGAGACCAGGAAGAAGTTCCTGTCTCATGGCTTTGGCCTGGATAGGCCCTGGCCATTGTGGCCATTTAGTGAGTGAACCATTGTATAGAAGATTCTCTTCCATTGTCTCTCTCTATAACTCTGATTTTCAAATATATACAAAATCCTAAAAAATATAAGATTATAAAACAGAGAGAAACTCTCTTACAAATCACAGCATTTACTAACACCACGCATGTTAACACATGTTGTTCAGAAATTCAAATTACTATGTAGAGAAACAAATGCTGTTACCCTGAGTTTTAACAGGAAAGAAAGTCAAGGCATGTGTTGGACACAGTGGTTAATTTGCCAGTTGGGATTCTCATGTGCCATAAATCTGTGTATTTCAAGTACTGGCTACTTTGCTTCCAATCCAGCTTCCTGCTAACACACACTGTAGAGAGCAGCAGGTGATGGCTCACATCCTTGCGTCTCTGTCATCCACATTGGAGTATCAGACTTGTTCACTGGCTCATGACTTGGGCTGTGCCCAGCCCTGGCTGATGTGGACATTTGGGGAATGCACTAATAATTGGAAGATCGATGCCTCTGTCTCTTTCTCCCTCCCTCCTACCCACTGCCTTTCAAATAGGATGAAAATAAATATAATTTTGGAAGTTCCTATTTATCTAACAGGGGATATTTTCTATTTCTTCTGATAAAATTGATCACAGTTGTCTCTGTGTCATTGTAGGGAGCCACCATTTTAATAAGAAACTGAAACAACTTATAAAACTGTGTGCCACAACACTGTTGATCTTTGTGCATAATTTATTCATATCTAACAAGTCATCTTTTTTATCTTTAAGATACCAGGAATTATGTAATATATATCCATGTTTGTCATTCATTACAAATATTGGTGAGGTGACATTAAGAATAACATTAGGTTCCTGCACTTTGAAAAGTAACCCACACCTGAGAAAGAGAGAGAGAATACCAGGAATGGACACCATGCTATTGTCAACCATTTTCTCTTCTACTTGACATTCCATGTGACATTGACATTATATATAACATTTCAACTTCCATCTTCTTGGCCATCAGTACCATGAGTATGACTGGCAAGAGTTTTTTTTTTTCTTTTCTTTTCTTTTCCTTTTTCTTTACTTTTAAATTCATTTTGTTCTTTCCTTTTGTTTCTAAGGCAGAGTGATAAAGACGGGGGTTTAGGGGAGACAGCAAAGAAAGAGATCTGCTGCTTCACTCTCCCAGATGAATACAACAGTGGGCCAGATTAAGCCAGGGGCCAGGAACTCTATCCAGGTTTCCCACA